AATTCACAAGGAAAGACTCGCAGCAAAAGTCTGTCAGTGAATCTAGTTCTGGAACGTGAAGTGAAAACAGTCAAAACTTTTTTAAAAGTCAGCTACTAAAGGAAAGGTTTTTAATGCTAAAATATGGGAGCCGGATATAGTATGCTGTTCTTATGTAGCTCACAATGGCTAATTTGCATTAAATTACTTGTTGCGGTGTTAAGCAGGTGCAAGCAGAAAAATAATGTAGGTTAATTACGATCGAAGCAAGGACAACAAAGGCGAGGATGTAAAAGTTTAAGCCAAATTTTATTTAATAATCTGGCAAAAGTATGTACAGGTAATTGTTTGCTGGAGTTCGGTCGTGAAGTTGGAGAGTGTCAGTTGAAGGAGCGTTGTTAGGTTTCAAGGCGACAGCTCGGGGGTAGGCAGATGGAACAGCGGTGTTCGAGGTCCAGTCGATCCCCGGATGTCTACCCTTTTCTAAAGAGCGCGTCGGCGCTTAAGAAGAGAGAGGATCGACGCGGACGGCGCTGGTGTAGTCTGTTCGTCCTTGGTATCGTGTAAGAACGCAGCTTGGTAGTTCTAATAAAAAGGACATTCGCACATAATTAGGCTAGGTTAGTCCTGAAAAGGACTATCGCAAATCATGTAGCCAGGTTAGTTCTGGAAAGGACTATCGCATTTCATGTAGCCCGCTGCTGCTACTACTGAAGTTGGGTCGGCCGGCTGCTGAAGTCGGCAACAAGACTGGGAGCTGATGGCTTCACTGGTCGCTGCTGCTGAGTTTGGTTGCTTCGTGTGGTCAGCGAAGGTGAGAGGGGCAGCTCGTCGCTCTACCCCGAGGCCAAATCCGCCAATAGATATTTACTTGACTCCCACGAAGTCAGGATATGACACAAGGTCGGTTTAGCGTGGGAGACCCGAGTGTTTCCACTCAAGGGCCACTGGTCCAAAACTGGTCATAGCATGTCCAAGCTGGTCAGAGCTTAGTCAAAGTTGCTCATGGCTTGTCCTAGCCGTGATCGAATCTCAGCCAAAGACCGAGAAACGACGCGAATTTGTCAGGTATCTGGTTGAAGAAATCGGCTGTGTTTATGTTGGCTGAGATCAGCATCGTAGCCGGTTGGCAATATCTTTGGGGTGATGACTGAAAATTACCTTCTGCATTTTGACTGGACACAGGGATTTCATTCGGACACCATGTGTATATAAAGTAGTTTCTGGTAATTATTTTTAGTTAGGAAGGCTCGTGTATGTTAATGTTTCATTTGTTTTGAGTTTTTGTGTATCGTCCTCTGAAAAACACTGAGTCACCGGAAGTTATCGACATTCGTTCTGTTTTCCGCGATGACGCTTTTAGACGTTTGAGTAGCCGGCTGTAACTTCCGGCCGGGTGCGATATACTAACTCATACATTCGAATTAATCGCAGTATTAGTATTTATATATTGAAAACAAGACTATACCCGATAGTTTGTCGATAAAGGTTTTTAAACCAAATTAGTGCATTTGTTTTTTGAAAAAATTGAATAGATTAAATTTCTTACTACGGAGAAGAAACAACAACATTTTGAAACTGGTAGAATGGAATTACAAGGTTTTATTATTTTTAATTCAACTTCACAAATGGAATCAAGCATTTTTGCAATTAGATGAATTCATCTTTGTATAATTAATAATATGTAAATATACTCTCGCTTTGATAACACTGGTCTACAATATGAAAGTTTCGAAAACAAAAATACTCAATCTTAGCTAATTTGGGGGCACAGGAAATAAAAACGATATGCAAAACTATTGATTGGCTCTAGATTTCAAGAAACGGTACTCGTGTTATATATGAATATTTCATCAAAATTGTTGTCCTTGTTGGATTAATTATTAACTGACTAAATATCTCTGAATCTAGAGCCAATCATCTAATTTGATGGTCATTTTCGAATTCAGAATGCCAAAATAGATAAGTGACACATTTCCATTTCTGAAGTAGTCAACTTGGGAATATTTGTAGACCAGTTTTAATAAAAAATAATTATCTAATTATAGATATGGTGGAAAATATGCCGTAGTGGTATTGATGATAATGACACCCTACCTAAATTCTGTTACATGGCCTTAGAGAAAAATACTTAAAAGTAATAAAAACGTAAGCAACTTAATCTGACAAGAATCTCAGTTAGGATTAAATTCTTCTTACACGAGCAAAAGTCTGTGAAATAGACTTGCTTCCAACTATTACGTTATTGTAGGCATCTTATTTTTTATCTAATCTTTGCTTACTTAAGCATTGTAAGTGACCGGGTGAGGATTGAATCATTGTCAGAGTAGCTGATCAGCTACGGTAGATCAAAATGACCCAACACACTTTAAACAACAATTTCTATAACCAAAGGCTACCTTTCAGGTCAATTGTGCACAATAAAACTATACTGATTTTAATTTAGGATTTTTAAAAAATTATAACTATCTTCATCTTCATAGAATCACTAATGAGATTGTTACACAGGCAAACTCAATGATAGCTTCACGGTAGAAAGGAAAATACAGCATATATAGAATTATCCATTTTCATGATGGTTTGTTGCATCGTATAAGCTGAGGACGGACACTTATGTAGTACACAAGTCAACTTCCTACAAGAAGTACAAATTGAGAATACTAAAATATTCACATATTGATGTTTCAATATGTAAAGACCGACTTGTTTGATAAGGGACTAAAACTACATTCAGATTCGGTGTACAATTTGGTTTAAAAGTTATATTATTATTAAGAGGTTATTGCAATCACGATTTTTCTTTTTTGCCGTATCCAGTCAGGATGTTGGCGATCATGACTCTCCACAACTTCCCGTGTTTTGTAGCTCTTAATAAATTTCGTCCTTTTGTTATCTCTCCTAAACATTGTTCTGCTATACATTTACTCATGTTAGGTAGATTAAGCGTTGTTTTTCTGTCCTGGGAGTATGAAAATTTCCAAGCCTTCTTTCCTCTTTATGTGCCCAAGAAATTTCAACTGCCTCTTCTTGATGTTAAGGGTCTATCCTTTTTGTTTCCATTTTATCCAAAACTTCGTCGTTGCTCACATATTCAGTCCATGGCATTGTCATTTCTGTTGCTTCAAATCTCTTTTTCATCAGTGAGGTGCTTGTTCAGTATTCACAGCCACATAGGAGGACTAATATTACATAACAGTCAAGTAATTTTTCTTTGTTTCAAACGAAAGTTTTCTGCTTGTTAATACTTTGCTTAGCTTTTAGAATGCTAAGCCAATGCATCTTCGTTTATCAGTGTCGCACTTTTCATCCTCCGTTAAAGAAATTTCACGGCTAGTTCATTTGAAATCTACCAAGGAAAGCGAAGGTCTTATTCTAGTTTGAAGGCTGGTAGCATCAGTTTTCATGCCTATTTGTAAAAAAATGTTTTACGTGTGCTTTCAAGTGCGCTAAATAAAAGTTTACTAAATTAAGAATATAACAAATGAAAACAGCAAATTTATTTATTATCACTACAATTGGAATTGTCATTTGGATGCTTTGAATTAATGATAATTTAAAAGAAAATTTCACAATTACTTATATAAACAAAAAAATCATGACTATCTGGTATAACAGTGGCTGGTTTTAGATGATAGAGTTAATTTCCTTTACCAACTTTAAAGGAACTTTAAATACAGTAAATAGCTAATATCAATAAATGCAGCAAATAGCTAATCTCAGTTAATCAATTATTAAAAACAAACTTTAATTTAACAAAATCATATAAGAATGTATGTTGCATCTTCCATTTTGTTGGAGGTGTTTCAATAAATTTGAAGGATAAAAAAAGAAAAAAGAGAAAAACAGAATCTCATTTTTATTTTGATGTCAATTTACATTAAGTAAAAATAAAAATAAAAACAAATTATGAACTCTTTGCTTACAGATTTTTTCTGGCTTTTACGGATTTGTTTGTCTGAGTTAAAATACAGAGAGCATAGGAAGAGAAAATTTATAAAATTGCATGATAGTTCTTAACCATGAATCTCATTATAGAATGCATTACTGAATTCCTCAATAGAGACCCTACCATCTTTACTTGTGTCAGCTGACTCGAACATAGCTTCAAGTTCATCATCTGACACAGTACAGTTGAATTTTTTTAAGGCTACCTTCAATTCCTGTAAGGAGATTTTTCCATCTCCACTTGTGTCTATTTGGGCGACAACATTTTTCAGTTCTTCATCACCGACATCCCTACAATAAAAAGATAGTAAATTTACTTGTAGTTCAACCGCGGTGTTTTATAAAATTAGTTCCAAAAAGCATTTTTGGTTACATTAATGAGAGCGAAATAGAGGTTGTAAACATTCAGAACTTAACGAAAATATATAAAATAAAATATTAAATAAAACTGATGAGGTACAGCGATTAATTTGTCTTGTGTTCGTATAAACACATACGAACACAAGAAAAATTAAAAATGATTAATCGTAGTACCACGTCAGTCGGCTTTAATGAAAACTGTATATAGACGTATGTACATATATACACACGTGAACACACACACAGATACACACATATATACATACACACATATACATAGAAATACTTATGCATGTATATACACATACGCATATATATATATATATATATATATATATATATATATATATATATATATATACATTACACACATATGGACATATATATATATATATATATATATATATATATATATATATATATATATACACACATACATATATGTACATACATATAAACACATACAAGCACAAACACATATTTATACATACACACCATACATATTTATATACACACATCCATACATATATACACACATAAATGCATATATGCACACACATATAAAAATATATGCACACGCATATACATATAAATACTCACATATGCATATAAATATACACGCATAAATATATACACACATATATACATCCACAGATAAACATATATATGCGCATATACATATATTATAGATACACATATATATACATACACATTTACAAATATATATCTCTACATATGCATATATGCAATTATACATATATATTCATATATATAAACACATACGTATATATATACACATATACATATTTATATATACACATATATAAATACACATATATATACATATATACAAATTATACATATATATTCATATATATATAAACATCTATGCATATATATACAGATATATACACATATATATATGCACACACATATATATACACATATATATATACTGATATACTTATATATACACAAATACTTATATATATATACATACACATATATATATATATAAACATATATATATGCACACACACACATATATATCCATATATATATATACATATATGCATATATTTTCTCCCGAAATTAAAGCAACTATATGAAGATTAGAACGGCTCCTGATCAAGCATAATAGACATTCTTTGTCTGTTATATTTAACAATATATATGTTTGAAAATATATATATATATATATATACATATATATATATATATATATATATATGTATGTATATATATACATGTATATGTCTATATATATATACATGTATATGTCTATGTCTATGTCTATATATATATATATACATATATATCTCTCTCTCTCTATATATATATATATACATGTATATGTCTATGTCTATATATATATATATATATATATATATATATACATACATGTATATGTCTATGTCTATATATATATATATATATATATATATATATACATGTCTATGTCTATATATATATATATATATATATATATATATATATATGTCTATATATATATATATATATATATATATATACATGTCTATATATATATATATATATATATATATATATATATATATATATATATATATATCGTGAAATACATGTCTAATGGTTTGGCACACATCATCATTGGTGTTTTTTAGTTTGTGTTCATTAGGGGTTTTGTGTCTTTCAACATCATACCAACTCTCCACGTTGACCCAGTTGATACAGATTGTATATCGGCTTGTATGTCATACGTCTCTTACAACTTCACTTGTTTTTAGTCACACACTTCGACTCCTCTTGGCAATTTATATTCCAATTATGCAAAACTTCTGGTTCAACAATAATTAATGTTCTACAATCAAAAAGAGAATAAAATTGAATTGTTAATAATTTTCAATCTGTTTGCACTTTTATTGTGCTGTAGGTGTATTATTTTCCTTTTCGCTTGATGGGTGTTGATTGGTAGTTGGTTTCTCTTTCTTTAACTTTCTTTTTTTTCTTCCTTTCCTCGCCTTCTCAGTTGCTATAATGTATATAGGGATGCGAACGTACAAACACCGACATAAACATGCATGCAAACACAAATATATAGGTGTGTGAAATATATAGTTTGGTTAATAAAAAAAGGACAAACGAAAGGGTACTTATAAAATCAGTATGATAAACACTTATTAAATATTAACCATCTGACAGAAAGGAAGCACGGAGTGAAAGGTTTTATTTTCGGGATTTTCAAACACGCCTGCGTCCTTCATCAACGGTCCGAGGAACAAACAGAAAAATAGGAATTACTCACCGACCGGATGTTTTTTGTAGATGAGGTATTTTCCAGTGGAAATCGTATTACTAGCAAAAACCAGATCTCTGTCTGATACCTCGATGTGCGAACCTTTTTATGAAAATCAACTTAAATGTAAATTTTGTTTGATCGATGTAAAAGTGTTCAGTAGGACTATTGTTTCTATTGTATGTCTTAGGTGAGATTGTAAACATTGATGAAGAGAATTATAGGTTGGAGCGAGGGAAAGACGTCTCTCATGTAGCAAGTAGTAGGAAAAGTTGGCAGATCACGTAATCTGCCAATTTTTGCTATAAATTACAGTTCATGAAGGACAAAGGCGTGTCCGAAAATTCCGAAGATAAAACCTTTCTCCCCGCGCTTGATTTCTGTCCTATGGTTAATAATTAATATTTAATAAATGTTTATAGTACAGATTATATTGGTACCCTTTTGTTCGTCCATTTTTTTTTATTAAACAACTTATTTATTGCACATATTATAAAAAAGCACACGTGGCCCATTTTTTTTTTTATATATATATATATATATATATATATATATATATATATATATATATATATATATATATATATATGCATGTCTGTGTGCATATATGTGTGTATATATATATATATATATGTGTGTATTGATATGCATATGTATATATATGCATGCTTATATGTATATAAATATATATATATATACATATATAAATATATATATATATATATATATATATATATATATATATATATATATATATATATATATATATATATGTGCATATGTATATATACATATGTTTGGGCTGAAATGATTAATATATATGTGTGTGTGTGTGTGTGTGAGAGAGAGAGAGAGAGTGTGTGTGTGTGTGTGTGTCTGTACACGTCTGTATGTAAACATTCAGATTGTAAGGAGAAAAAAAGAATTCTGATTAATGATAAAGTAGTTGAATTTTGAAAGGAATAATGTTAAATACTATGTGTGTTGAGAACTTATTTTTCAGGTTAATTTTTCATAACTTGTAATTATTTTTTTCAGAAATTGAACTTAATTATTTAGAAAACAAAATTCAAAATAATCGTACTTGAGAGATGTCGCGTCCAGTGTGTCCAGCCACTCATCTAATGTGATGTAATCATCTGAGCCTTTATTCACGGAATTAAACAAATTCTGTTAAAAAGAGAAATAAAAAGAACTTTTAAAGAAAAATGTTCATTTTCCATGTTTCTATTAACAGTTCTTCTGCACTGCTATATGTATACATTTCAGCCATTTTCTGCAACATTTGTTTACGGACACGGAAAAATATACCAACATAAAGAATGTCATAAAAGTTCACACAGACCAAACAGTGAGGGAATTACAAAAAAACAAAAACTGAAAAACAAAGAAAATTAAAATGGAATATTTCCTCCAGACAGAAGAACAAAAGAGAAATGAAGCCAAACTCTGAAAAAAGTGAACGACCATACCCCAAAAGAAAGCAACAAAACACCGCAACTACACTGGCCACCCCACAACCAATGCAAACACAAAACAGACCAAATAAATACACCAACAGACAACCACCAGCACCACAACCAACAATAACAACACCGCCACCATCAACGATAGCTAGAACCTCAAAACAAACACACACACACAAAACAAACCACTAACTTACGCGGACATCCTTAGGGTGCCGTACAAATATACACAAACCAAAACACAGCAGCCCTTCTACAGAATAACCCCATTAGACATCCCAGACCACCTAGATTAGCCCCTAGTAGACAATCAACAGCAAACACACTCAACCTTAAAAAAAAACGGAATAAGCCCCCAACCAGGACACCTGGATGGGGATATAGCATCCCTAATAGGAGATATGATGCAGGCTTTCGAGCTTTTACAAAAGAACTTCGCCATGCTTGCAAATTCAAACTTGACCCATACGGGCGAGTTATAAATTTAATTAATAATAGATTTTCACTCAAAACATTCAGGGTATTAAATAATGGATTAATCTTTTGCCCTAGTCCCCCAAGGTTTGATAAAGACACCTTGGCAAAGGACCTGAAATCCTTCTTTAGAAGAATACGGTTAAAAGCCCACTACGGGGTAAATGATCACACACCTTCCATACTTGATACATTAATAGAAGGAGACAGACATTACTATACAGACATTTGAACTAGCCGTAGCAAATGACATAAAGAAAACAATAGCACGTAAGCTGCCACGTCCTTCATCAACGGTCCGAGGAACAAATTACTGAAGGGGAACGTATAGCCCTCGATACGCTGACACATAGAGAGGACCTAATCATAACACAGGCTGACAAAGGGGGTGCGACAGTGATCTGGGGAATCGAAGAATACATTAAAGAGACCAACAAACAGCTAGCCGACAAAGAAACCTATACCTACAAATCCCCTTCCCGAATACCAAAAAGAAACCCCAAGAATGTGAAATATCCCCGGACATCATTGAAGTTTTTAGGATACATTCTCAGCAGTGTCGGCCTGAGGTCCGATTCAGATAATCGTTGGAGAATATAACTTCCTACCTACAGCAGATACGAGGGTTGGCTGGAAATTTCATAGGCTGACCAAGTTATAAATATAAGTAAACACCCGAGTTGGTAGACTAAAAGGCATGCATGTGTACCAGAATACAACAGCTGGCAAGAATTAGTAAAACTGTTGGCTGTTATGTTAACCAAGGTGGGTTTTCCGGAGTAGTAAATTCAAGCGTTAGGCTCTATTGTCTATTCGTGTTTCATTTGTAATGTTTTCCATGTGAATGCCGAGACGTTTGACTGTTTCTTTTTTTCTTTTTCTTTTTTTTTTTTTGGTTGAATAGATCTTTATATTGTGGTTGAGAAACACTGTTGAATGCAGGGTTATTCGGTCAAGAATATAGTTTGGCATAGTATTGTTTAGCTAAGATGAGTTGTAGTCCCTGATGAGGAATTGTAACTAGCATGATTTCCGTGTATCGTCATAAATGAAACAACCATAGTCCAGTTTAGGCCTAACTAGTGATCGATATAATTTCAATAGGTCCTTCTAGTCTGTGTAGGAAATCACTCTGAGTATTTGGATTACTTTATTTAGTTATTTCATGTGAGGTATGAAATATAACATTTTGTCAACGATAAATACCCAAGAATTTATATTACTCCATTACACGAACTTCAGAACCATCAATTTTTAAATCAGAGTTGTGGGAGTAGCTTTCGGAGTTAACAGAAATGTACAAACTGAGGTTTTGTGTAGAAGAATCTGAATCTGTTTTCTTTAAAAAAAATATGTATTAACTTAATTGAGACATTATTGAGGGACGATTGTATGGATATTTTTCGATCTATAGTAGATGAAGAAATCATCGATGTACACTGAACAGTCAATTCCTGGTTTCAGACATATAACAATGTCATTTATTTTAATATTAAAGTGAATAACTGATGAGATACCCCTTGTGGTACACCAATTTCTTGGTAATATAGATCAGAAAGGGAAGTACTTAACTCGGACATTGAAAACATGCTCTGTTAAAAAGATTGGAAGTCTGTCTTTGAGACCCATTTAGACTTTGTCCGATGCCGTATTTCCATGTGGAATCATATGTTTTTTTCTGTATCAAAGAACACTGCTGTCAAGTGTTCCTTTTTAATAAAAGTGTTTCTAATAGAAGATTCCAGGCGAAACAGCTGGTCTATTGCACTTCTGTTCTTTCTAAAACCCAACAGGAAGTTTTTAATTGTATTATTAACTTCAAAAAACCAAATAAGTCTATTATTAATCATCTGTTTGAGAGTTTTGCAGATACAGCTAGTAATGGTGTCTGACAAATAGTGTGAAGATTTTCTAAGTCTTTGTCAGTTTTCGGAATTTAAATCTTGGTGACTTGTTTCTAGAGACTGAATATTGACATTGATCCCTATATTGTTATATATCTCAAGTAAATAGTTGAAGGAAATGTTTGATAAGTTTTTCAGGACCAGAAGCAGAGTTATATAATTTATTTATGGAGTACAATAGTTATCATCTTCTTTCACACTCAGTAACCACCTTGCGTCTTGTATATGATAATAATGACCCAAAAAAATTCTGACGAAGAGAAAGGTTGGTTGTAATCCTCGTTGCTTGAGTAAAAGTTTCTTCTTTTCTTTGTCTCTTTTAATATCGTAGAATTGTTTACAATACAATTTGATGAGGAATTTTTGTAAAACATTTTGGTTAGTATATTTGCGATTACTTTTTGTTGGTAGATTTAGTGTTGATTTGTGACAAATGTTCCAAAGGAGTAGTTTTGTATTTGCCAGAGATTTTATGAGTCATATTCCAAACAGATTTGGATTTTGTTTTGGAATTGATATGGGATAAAATGTTTTTCCATAAAGTTTGCTTGAGTTTTTAATGGTTCTTTGTGCTTTACTTAATCATTTATGTATTATGTTTGTTTTTTAGCTCATGTTTAGTTTGGCAGGTTTTCTTCCTTTAAAATTTTATTTAGTAGGAGTTCGCTGAGTGTCTTATTTGGTTTTCTCTATGCTTATTCTCTAGATGATCTTCTTCTGAGGCTTTGTTAGGGAAGAGCTTCTGGGTTGCGATGAAGGTTGAGATATTTTGATCTTTGTCTTTCTAATTATATTTTTGAGTGAATTTGGTGTTTTGAATGTGTTTTCGGTTTTAGTTGAGGACAATGACATGTATTTTGGTATTTCTTCACATAAAGATTTCTATTAATTTTTTTTTAGTTCGTTGATTAGTGTTGTACTTCTTGTTTTCTTTTCATTGTGTTGAGCACTTGATTCTCGTTTTGGTGGTGTTGTCTTTCAGTTGTACTAGAATAAAAGTTATTGTGAATTTTTTTCAGTGTAACCTACGATTTTTCTAGTTTCTGGGAAAGTGATGTTTTAATTTCTACTATTTCTTTTTCTTTTACCCGTAGACCCCGTATAAAACGGGGTCGGGTAGCTGTTTCCCGAGACGAAACTCTACCCTTCGACATAGTCGTCTGGAGTTCCTCTCTACCCGGTGGCAGAGAGTTTGACCAGCACAGCTGGAGATGTATCTCCAACTGCAGATACATACAGTATTTACTACTGTATTTAGTTGAATGGAGACATACCCATTATCGTCCGTAGATATGCTACAACAATGATGCCCAGACCTTTCAAATTTGAGATACCTGAGTGATAGGGCGATATATGTGCTTACCTTGGAAATAGTATACTACTTTTTTTGTGGGTATTTTGAAAGTAATGATGTAGGTGTTTGTGTTTATGTTCTGTAGGTATTTTTTAATAGTTATTCTTTTTATGACGATTACGTTTTGGTTTCTTAGATTTGTTTTTAATTCCTCTGTTGAGAACGGAGCTTCTAACCCCTTCTTTAGATGTATTTGATTTGTGAGCGTAAGTCATGGTTTTGAGTTCACTGAAAATCTTCCATTTCAGGAGTTTTTTTCTGCTTGAACGCTTTTAGACACCTGTACTATTATCGTTCCACAAGCTGTTTTTTATGTTTGGGGGATTATTTTTAGGGCATCGTATTTCTAACAAAGAAGGGTGAGAATATTCTTATTGGAATTTATTCAAGTGATTCTAGTTCTATGAATTGGGAGGAAGATCCATTGGGTCCAGGTTCACTTTCAGAACTAGATTCGATGTAGAGTTTTGATTTTTTTCGCGGCATAAGATTTTTTGCTCCTCACCCGCCCTGCAACTCAAGTGAGAAAGATGTCTTGGGAAGGAATCTATTCGCACAGCCATCCCAAGGATATAAGGATGATATACTCATATTAGTAGCATTTATCTGTGGGTTCTTTCATTCCTCCTCCCCAAATAGAAGTTGATGTTACTTTTGTCCGCTAGCTAATTGATACCGCCTTCTAATATTCATGTTTGTATGTTGTTTTGTGTGTTTACGTGTATATTTATTAGTTAGAGTGATAATGTGTGCTTTAGTATATAGTAGTGATATTTTTGTACAAGTATAAGGGCTTGTTGTGACTAGCCAATTATTTCAGATCAGACCTCTCTAACCTACTGTTTAGACCAAGTAGGGGACAAAGTGGAGTATTGCATTTTGCATGACGGTTTCTTCCCCTAAACATGGGCTGTTCAGCTACCAGGATCCTGTAAACAGGTGACCTCATTGGGAGGAGTTTATCCCCCTGTAGAGATGCAAACAATGTGTTTTGTAGCCCCAACCGACAGGGTGTTTATAGACATGAATATCTTAAAGAAGAGATACTGTGTTATGTTAGTTCATTAAATATGACAAGTTACGCCCTTTAGAAGAGAACAATCTTGTTTTAGTATTAAAGCCTCGTTTTGGATATAAAGAGTCTCAAGGAGGAAGCCATCATGATTCTCAAAAATATTGCATTAATAAAACTACTCAAATTGAAATAAGCCTACAAACTGAATTCTCGGCACATGGAATTCAACTATTAAATAATTAAGAACTCATATAAAAAATACAATTCTATGTCTCTTACCTAAAATATAAATTTTAATATCTAGTGAAGTGTTCCTGACGGCCTTTTCTTGATATCCTTAGATTTGAGCTTATTTGAGCTTCCAACAAAATTCGAATGTTCTATATAAATATTAAAAAAAGACTGAGAAGGAAAATTCTTCCTTCAAATTTTCCAACCAATCAGAGGCAAGGAACTCAAACCTGCAGTAATTTGAAATGGTAGCTAATTGATCCTGAAGACCCAAATATAAATAAGGTCACTGGCTGGTGACGATCACTGTTCAATCATATGTTGTCGTGATATTCATAAGGATGAGAGGACAAAGAAAAACTCAACATGTGGAGCTAAGAACAACTAAAAAGTATATCAATTTGTTCTGAAACTTACTTTAAAGAGACGCAGAACAAGCTTTCGCTACTTTTCTGCTAAAAAACACTAGATTCTTCGCGACTGCTACGTTTGACCACAACAGCTAACAGGTCAAATTTGACAACTTCCAGGGAACTTTCACTGTGACACTTTAAAGAAATTTTTTGATTTTATCAACCGAAAATCCTAATTTCATATGAACATTTTCTCTTTACCCAGCTTAATGTTCATTAAGCACTCAAAAGAATATTTTGAGCAAGTCATTATATATTTTATTCCCAATTTAAATTGAACTGTAAATAAATTATTTCTGTTCAATTTCACACTGAGTAAGATTCCTTCTTTTTTGTGTGCCTAATAACCCCATTAATTTTAGTTTTTTTTTTACCTTTATTGAAATAAAATTCCAATACTTGGAGAGGTGTAGGATAAGTGAGGTAGAATGAAAAAAAGCTATCAATATATGATGAGCAATTTCTTCAGATTTTACTCACCATTTTTGAAATTCAGTTGAACTTTAGATTTATTTACAATTCAAAGGAAATAGAAGCGATCTTCATGGTACGGTAGAAAACAAATCATTTTTCAGGAAAAGAATTCGGGAAGAGACTAAAATATGCTTACAATGACTGCAGAGAAGATCAGTGGAAAATACAGTGTAACCCGGATATAAGAGACCCGGATATAAGAGAAACCCGGATGTAAGAGAGATTTTCTCTGGTCCCAATTAGAGCCTGTGTTAATGTATATAAATAAACCAAACCCGGATATAAGAGACTTCTTCTCCGGTCCCGACAACTCTCTTATATCCGGGTTACACTGTGCAGAAAATTCTGTAATAACGGTGTTGATATTTCAACCAGTGGTGTTGACAATATTTACACTGTCAGGCGGATTCCTGTCAGGAACACGTAATAATACAAGTTTAGATTCTTATTCACCATTATTTTTCTGGAATAGTCCGATTTAGAACCGCAATCATATTTGAAAGTATAATTATAAAAAGATCAAAAAGCAAATTTTGAACGCGGTCTAGTATATCTGAAGAAAATTTCAAACTAGTTTCCGCAAAGAGAGTTTAAGACGTTCTAAATGCAAAAGATTAAAGAGTTTATATTGAAAATCATTTAGATAAGAAAATGCATGCGTACTATATTAGTGAATGAACCTGAAGCCTTAAAAAACATTTTACAAATAAATAATACTTTGTCTATATACTTAACACAAATGTTTCTCTATAGATCACTCTGAAACTTCAGATCAAAATCCAGTTAATATTCATCAGGCTACTGACTTACTGATCTATTCTCGCATGAAACTGTTCCGTATACCGATGTATCACTTAAGGAGAATAGGTCATTGATAAGTTTGTGTGGATAAAGAGCAACATCCATGCGCACAAATTAGAATACTAGATTAAAAGTCGCGCTATCAGGCGGCATTTAAGCTAGCTCCTGCGAAAAACTCTTAATTGAGCCTTCGGCTTGTTCAGGAGTTTGAGAGTCTCTAAGTCTTTCCATATTCTCAGCATTAGAAGCTCTCCTGGCTGTCGTTTGATCTTGGTTTTCATTTGCACGAGACTTTTTTTCCCTCACTGCAGCCTTGGTCCCTTTTAATTTCAATCTGGTCCTCTGTTGACGGAGATTTTTTTTTTGCATGTCATACTACTGCCGTATGCGATAGGCAACAATAAACTATATATATATATATATATATATATATATAAGAACTGAAAATAGAACGCTGCATTTAAGCTTACCTTTTAAAAGTTCAACGACAATTCTTCTGCCGCCGCTTAATTTCAAGACAATCTAATATGCTTAGGTCCTAACTTTTCATACAAACAATTATTTTTTTATTTCATGGGTGACTTTCGCTGAATTTTGCAATTAGTTTTGATTATTCCCAAATTTATTTCCAAGTTATAAAAATTGTTAGCGTCCCAAAAAATTTGTCCCAAAAAAATCACGTAAAAAATCGCCGAAAATGATCACAGTAATGAAAACTTGGGAATCCAAAACTTCTGTAACTATTGAAAGTTAGAGAGTTGCGTCCCTTTAATTGAAAAAGTGTGACACAGTGACACACTGATATTCGCATTAATTATAAGCTGTAGATAGAGAAAGGTGGGAAACGGGTGCTGAAGCATTAAATGAATTAACTTTTTGGGACATGGGTGTACGATAGGAAAGTTTGTATTTTGTAATCGGAGATTATATAATTTATATATATTTTTTTTTAGATGACCCTACTCTACCTAACTCAGAACATATGAGCGACACAGATCCGAACCTCAGTATCAAAAACAAATTCTTACTAGCTAGCTTACTCCTAAAACAAAAAAATAGTAACCACTAAGAAGGGTCCTTACAGCCAGGGAAACTTTGATAATTATCACAAAATGATGCTTATATAATTTAACTTAATGTTTACAACATAAATGCAATTTATAACTCTGACGAATAGTTTTGTTTCAGAAAAAGAAAATTAAAAATAGAAATGTATACAGCAGTCTATATTCATGACGATTTAAAAGTTTAATAAATTTTTTAAGAACTTAGTCTAAGTTCGTATTTGTTTCACAGAACAACAAAAAAAAGTGAACAATTATGTTTGACGTACATTTTGTTGTATTTTGCCACAGCAATATTCGTTAAGTGAACTAGGTCAGGAAAAGTAGTGGTTTGTATTTCTAATAAGTCTTTTTATAACGAAAAAGAAAAAAAGTCACTCGCCTACTCAAACCTAGTGAATTCGTTTTATAACGAATGGTTAATTCGCGAAGTGTTATAAACTTATAATTTTATTTGATTAATCAGTGAAAAAGTTAAAACTGCAAATAACAAAATACTAGTCATAAGTCATATAGTGTTTTTAGACAACAATTCAAGATAGAATATTTTGAGGATATGTTCCCTTTACTAACCCAAAACAGAGAGAGAGAGAGAGAGAGAGAGAGAGAGAGAGAAAAGAAAGAGAGAAGCTGTTTTACAATTTATATTTTACAAAAATGTAAAAGTGTACTTACTTTAATGGCTGCATCGCTTACGTCAACTTTCAAAAGTTGATGAATATGCTGCTTAAACTCCATAAAAGTTAAGCGACCATCACCGCTTGAGTCGAAATCTCGAAATTTTTTTTCGTAATCTTCCCTAGTAAGCGGCATCTTCGGAATGAATGATGATTAAAACACTGAAAAAGTAAGTCGGATTTTTTTGCCAATTACGGAGTTTCTCTAGACTGCCCGCGTATCTACGTTGACAACCAACTACTACCACTGGCTGAAAAACAGTAATAAAGTGCGAAGTTGAGCCCAGTTTGGCTTTTTATACAAGTTGAAGTAGGGCGGAGTAGTAGCTCTGATAACAGAGCTTAAATGTTACACAGACGAAGTCGGAGGGGAGTAGAAGAATAAGTTAAAAAATGGGTTATGAAAGTTGCTGAATCAATCAATAAAGTTTCAGTTTTTTTTTTTCTTTTAGTAATTGATTATATTGGATAGGATTGCCTTATTTTCATGGTACTTTAACTTTAGAGAATACAGTTATTTTTAATATGACTTACTTAAGTAGATTTAAAAGTAAAACTGTATTTCTTTAAAACCAAAAATGGATGGACTTAGATATTTCTCATATTGCGTTAAAAAGCAGAGTTATCACTACAGCCTTACGAAAAAATGTAAACAACAAATTAAAAAATCTCTTTAAAATCCAATATTTGTTTTACAGATGTGTTTCAAAGTCATTTAGTAAATTTATAGAAAAATTAAAGATACTGTCACATTGTGTAAATGCGGTGCTTAATTTTGCTTAAAAAAATAAAAATGTTTGTTTACGCACGGTAAATATTATATTTTATTCTATACGTTTTTATGGAACTCGGTAGAATAAATAATTTTATTTTGTTACTACATTAGCTGTATAAAATAGAAATATAAACAAAAGAAAATTATAAATATTATCAGCACACCCTTCCTTCCGTCAACGGTTGCCTCAAACCTTTTCTCTTTCTCTTTTCTTCATCGTCGTTGCTACCCTTTGAGCAACGACCCAACGCTTTCAACGTTAAGGTATGTGACCGTTTTGAATGGGCACCCATTCAAAGTGGTTTGACGTTCGGCATTTGCCGCCAGTCAAAGGTCACGTGACTTATCTATCCCCGCCAATAAGTATCCACTTGCGGACAAACGATCTGCAAGAAGACGAGTTTCCCATCTCTCTCTTCACCATACGGCTCAAACACCTAGACTTCGGTAATAGACATTTTATAGTAAACTTCTTTGCCTGAAGCTACCTTCACCATCCTTGACTCGATCCTAGCCCAACCTTCCGACTTTCCTACATAATACGAGATTCTCTTTCAAAAAAAGAAAAGCAACAAGCTTTTGTCACGAACTCTTCCAGAATCTCCACTTGTCAACTACAGCGACAGCGAAAGTTCAAGTTAACCCTTCTCTTAACGTTAACTCATCGATAGCAGGCAACCTAGCATCTTTTAAACAACTGTTGCCACAGTATCAAGCGAATCTTACCTCTCATCCAAAGCAACAAGTAAGTTAAGAACCCACGAGCCTCCACAAGAGGTACTTTCTGGATCTTTCCCTTGGTCTATACTTCATCCTATGTTGACGAACATTTCTCTTCCAACTTATAAACTCTGTGATTCTAACTTGGTCAAAATCATGTCGGAGTTTCATAACCTACCGTGTTAATCTGTTTCTAATTCTCCATTGATTCTTCTTCTATTCTCTGATTCCTTTCTTCTTCAGGGACATTTGGCGCCAACCATTACAATTTGGCGCGCAATAACGTTCAACCTCAACATCAACCGCACGCTTCACAGATTCGCCAGACCTACTATCCAGAAACTAGAAACTCAACACCGCATTCTTTCCCCCTTCATCCTGTCAGTTTATTATCAAATAAACTTATATTTGTTATGCCTTTCATACACCACTCGTGTTTGTTCATTCTCTACCGTTGGTAACCTTATCAAGAACCGTTGATATCCTAAAGGAGTATCAACTACGCTTGTATTTGGGAGTCTGGTGGTCTGACGCAAGGCCATACAAAAGGAAACCACACTAGACGACAAAGCTTCAACTACAACATAAAATATAAAAAAGAAACTAATTAAAAACTAGTGAAATGAGACTTTTGAGTTTAATTCATTATTTATATTTTTTGATTATTTTCTTACCTGTTTGATAACAAATATTTAACTGCACCTAATGAGTTCTTATTTAAAGAAACAAAATCTAATCTAAAGATCTAAAATTGAAAGTTAATGAATAAAAAATTAAAAAGAATTAAAAAATTAAGTGTAGTCAGTTAAAAACTGTAATTTAGAATTATTTCCTTTTTGAACATCCATATAAAAATTATCTAACAGCTGCAAAATCAATTTAATTTTTTTTTTAAGTTTATACTCATAATGGCATAAACTTTATGCTGTTCGATTCTTCAAACATGTTTTTACTTAGTTTAAAAAAAAGTCTTGTTACGAACAGCACTTAGGATGAATTTCAAAATTGCACTGAAAATTACAAGTAATTTAAAGAAAAAAAATTAATAATTGTAGATTTTTCTGGCCAGTCTGGAAAAAAAAAACTGTTTTATTAAATTATGCAAGAAGCGCCATGTTTCAAAAATTATTTTTGCGATTTATTATTGAATTATTTATTATTCAGTATCCAATTGATTCATTAATTAATAAGGAATCCCTCGATTAGTGCAGTTAATTTGTACATATAAAAATTAATTTTCAATTACTAAACTGAAGAAAGTTTTACCACACTAATCGAATAAATCGAATTTTGGTATATAAAAATTTTAGCGAGCTAAACGAAAACGAATTAATCGAGGGATGCATCTACTGATAATTTTGTTTGAATCGGATAACTCCCTATTGTTTTTTAAACAGGGGCTAGTGGCTCTTTTGCTTTCATTTAAGAAAAAAAAACACATCCATTTTGGTGGTACCTAATAAATAATGTTGGAAGACAACCTTCGAAATAAAGAATAAATTTCAATTGCATTGCTTCATTAAATGTTAAAGTGGTTCAATCATATTATTTGAGGACTGAAGTATAAAGAAATTAAGAAACAAATCAAATAGAAGATAAAATATTTATTTACACATGCGATGAACTTCCTTTATTATTTGGAGCTAAATGAAAAATACAGATACAGAAAGTCAGGTGCCAGGAAAAGGTCAATCAGAGTTCATATAATAGCAGCGTAAGATAGATAGTTTTCATGAAAGCGGACACTGGAAGAATCTTCGTTTTAGTTTTATGCGGAAAGTTTTCCATTTTATCTTCACTAAGTCTAAGTGAGGTTGCTGTTCTCCTATATGACAGTGAATGTTGTACAATCTCCTCAAATACGAAGAAGAAATTTGAACCAACAAAAATTTGGTTCTACAAGGTGCCATGTTTTACCATGTTTTAGAGAAAATGAAAACAAAATGGACACTTATATTTAGCATAAAAAAAGACAGAAAGAAATTTCTAGGGCACATAATGAGGAAAGAGGGCTAAAAATTTGACACTCACGGGGCATAAAGGCAATAAGGAACTAATTCCCTACGCACACTCGATGTGTGTGAACCGTTTAGAGTACTTGGGGTGACTTCCGTTTGAGTTAGGGAGCGAGTTACAATACACCGGCTGTACATGAATATATGTAAATGCAGTATAACTAATCATTGCTTTACCTCTTCTTAATCTCTAACTACAACAACCAAACTCTACAAGACGAATAGAGGAAAACAGTGCATAATCTCTACCTAAACAGTTAATGTAAATTGTTGGCAGAACAGAATTTAGGAAAGATAGCAAAAAGAAAAAACTTATTAAAAGCTACAAAGGACAGGAAATCGTGAAGAGCCACGATAACCAACATCATGAAGGAAATATGGCCGATAGAAGAAAGAGTTTGCTGAATGTCTACATTTTCCTATTCCTTCATATCTGAATAATCCATACTATAATTTGTAAATTTATAAATGTCAGAGTTCAATCTTGCATTTTTCTACTCATAAAAATGTACAGCTCATTGATTCAAAGATAAAACTTAATTGTAAGAAGTAAGAAAAGAATTGTTTTTATGCATTGTTTTTGTAAGAGAAAGAAATATTATTTCTAGTGAAAGTGCATTTGTATAGTCACCTACGTTTTACAATGGGAAGTCCTAAACACAAAAACATGACAATAATATTAAATGAATAATTAATTACAAAGTGGTAATTCCAACCAAAGAAATAATTCTGAGAAAAAGTTTCTCTAAGAATAAAACAACCTCTTCTGTAATGTCTCCTCAACTCGACCTATTTTAATTTCCAAATACGTTTTTTAAAAAAAGTATCTGATATAAAATGCATTTTACTGTGTAGTAGAAAAGTATTACATTCGAATGTTCAGTACCTAATTTGTCAATAGCAAAATTGTTCGAGTGTGTAAAGATATTTGCATACAGCTTTTACCCTAATCTGTCACACGTCCGATGCTTGAGTCGAGTAGGAGCTCGTCATGCACTACTTATCCTGTCCTCAGCAAGTCTTTCAGTCGTCTCATTCTGTTTATTTATCTGATCATAATTTGCATCCATTCATTTGTTAACATTCATTAAATATTTCTCCCATGATGACGATAGATAAAATTGTGATATGAGAGCCGGGGGAAAATTATTTTCTTTCTAAACCACACATTTAATACAACTAAACAGAACTATTTTCAATATAATCTTATGCGGGATAACTATGGAGAAAAGAAAGACGCACTCTGCACTTATATATTTTGTTAAAATCTCTATCTTAACGAATGTTGAGATTCTAAATTCAAGGGAAATCTTACTCAGTTTAAATCTCTTATTGTAACTTATTTTTACTTTAAGTCGATGTTTAAAGAAAGTGATTAAATAAATATTCTTAATTAATATCTCTAAGCGAGCAGCAAAACATCTAATGAAGTCGCAAAGTGAGTGAACTTTGAAGCAGCCGTTTCTTTTACGCCACTTCATATATGTATGTTGTAGTAGTAGTAGTAGGAGGAGGAGGAATAGGAGGCAAAGTTTAATAAATAAAATAAAAATAGTTCTTAAATCCCCTGAAAAGTATCTTCATACTTATGATCTTCTTAAAAACTCATTAACAATAACTCCAGCAAACTTCGTTTCTAAAACCAGATAAGCAAAATACTAAGGATACTTAGATACGCAAAAGAAAAGATCAAAGACTCAATACAAAAGCGAAGGACAAAACTACACATAGTCATCGACCTCAATATAAAACCAGGAAAAATAAGTCCAAAGCGTCAGTTCTCTCTACCCTTTTGCTAGAAAATTGGACAGGATGGTCCACTCCTAACCATCAAAGAACTAACCAGGTCGGTTGCCTATTACATAGAAGGAGGAATATATATATATATATATATATATATATATATATATATATATATATATATATATATATATATATATATATATCTGCCAAAGTACCGCATGCTACAAACTGTTTCATAAGAAGGATACAAGTTTGTATTTGTATAAAATAAAAACTTCCAAGACAATGTTGGATTTTACATTAAAAATCAATGAACTAAGCGTTCATTGATTTTGAATGTAAAAGCCAATATTCTAACCGCCTCCCCCCCCCCACAACATGCATACGGGTGTGATAAATCTGCCGTGTCAAATTCGTAAGGCGCTTTCTGCACATTCTGAATAAGCTGGCAGGTGTGTGAATACCTCTCCTTTCCACTATGTCTCCCCACTGATAAAGGACATTCCAACAAGGAAGCCTGCACCTGGCCAGTCAACATAAGCCAAAGAACATCCTCTCTTTGGGTTTACAATGAGAGAAGTTAAACACGTCATCGAGACTAAGAAAAGTTATCCTGACTTTAAACTACCAGGCTGGTTTTTTCAAAGTATATCTTGCACGTTACCAAATTTCTTTCGTTTCGACATCCCTATAAACGCATCTCTACAAACTATAGGTAAAAAAACGGTAAAGATAAAAGCTTGAAAATGTTCAAGCATGGAGGTAAAGTACAAATAAATGGCAAGAATCAATATTCAAGCATAACTTTGTCCCAC